GCAGTGGACTTCGTCACTCTGCCTGTTCTGCTCCCCACTCTGTCTCTAGGGGAGCCTCTCACCCTCCGCATCTCTGGCCTGTACCCCAGTACTGTATGAATAAATAAATAAATCTTTTTAAAAAAAAGTGCTAAAAATGAGGCCCGGGCAGCGAGGTGCCAGTTCAGCGCGCAGACCGAGCCTGGAGCCGGGGCCTCCTCCAAGGCCGCGTTGCCCGGCCGCCCCTCCCACCCGGGGCCTCGGGCAGGGCCGGGTGGTGACGCCCGGGTGATGTCACAGGCTTTGTGAGGCGCCTGGGCGAGCCCTCTGAGCCGGGCGCCGGCAGCCAGCACAAGCACGCTGAGGGGCCGGGCTCCTGGAGCCCGCGGTTCGGAAGAAGCAGGTCTCGCGCCACCCTGAAGGCCCCGCCCGAGGCGCACCCGGGGCTCACGGCCCTCACGGCCCCGTGCAGTCCTCTCTGGGTAGGTGGGAGCGGCGGCCCCGGGGCTGGCGGGGTCCAGGCGGGGGCCCTCCTCAGGTCAGGCACGCGGCACCTTGCGTCACTGAGTCTCGGGGGACGCCGGCCCCCCGGCCAGGGTCAGGGTCTGATCGTCTGCCGGGGGCTGTGGCTGCCAGGCTGGGCCGTCCTCCCCTGGAGGTGGACTGGACTCCTGGGACCGGTTTTCATGGTCTACCCCGTGTCTCAATTTTCTGCGATGTGTCCTCTTCCAGAGTTAGGCGGGTGGTGTTATTCCAGGATAAGCGCACGGGCAGAGAGGCCCTTTGTGGTGCCAGAAACTCACAGGGCAGCGGCCCTGCGGGCAGCGAGGGGTCCACACCCCGGCTGCTCGGCCCAGCCAGTCGTGGCTCTCGGGCCTGCAGACTCAAGACTTGTTTTTTTTTAAGATTTATCTATTTATGCACACAGAGCTGGGGTACAGCCAGAGGTGCAGGGGCGGTGAGAGGCTTCACCAGAGACAGAGTGGGGAGCAGCACAGGTGGATGGACAAAGTCCACTGCCGAGGGGAGCGGCGGGTGGTCAGGAGAGGCCCCGCTGCGCCCTGTGGTCACCTCCGGGCTGGGGATCCAGCTCGCACTGAGGCGGCCGCGGCCAGCTGGCTGTGTCCTCACCCGCTGCGGGAGGTTCCACAGAGGGGCCTTGCTGAAGACCTGCGCTGCCACGCCCCCGAGGGGCTGAGCCCTGTTAACGGGGCCCCCACAGCCAACCGCGGCATCGCCGGGCGCTGGCCTGGCGCTCGTCTCTGGCATGTCTTGCCATGACACTGTAAAACATCCTGATGCCAAGTGGTCATCTGAAAATCAACCTGAGAGCTTTGTCATCAGGTAAAAAGGAAGCGCAAGGAGCTAGATGGCAAGCAGCTATCGCGACTGTTTCAAACCACGGAACCAGCTAACGCAGCTTCTCTTAAATCCTCCTGGCGCAGGAGACTGAGCAGACTTCAGTCATGCTCAGGCCACAATGAGACACGCTGCAGCCCCACGTCTGCTCTGCGGCTCCCTGGCATTTGCTGTCTGCGCCACGGTCCTGCTCACGTACTTCCACCACAGCCACGAGGCTAGCCGGCGGCAGGCAAACCAGGGCCTGGCAGTAATTTGGTCCCTTGGAAAGAAACTGCAGCAGGAAGCCCCCCGCGGTGCAGGGCGGACGCCCTACCTGCATGCCAGCGTGGACGGGCCCAGGGCGGGCCAGGCCGCAGCCCAAGAGCCGGTCTTCAGTTCCGGTGAGCGCCTCTGGGGGACGGGGAGAGGGGGCGCCGGGCTCAGTGTTTGGGGGAGGAAGCGCGTGTCCTTCCCGGCGCAATGCCAGTGTCAGGCTACGAAATATGTGTCGTGGATAAAAGTAGGTACGCGAGGCCCCATTACGCTCGGCCCCCCATTTATGCGTGCCCCCCACCATCTCATCATTTCGAACACAGCTACCGCGCTTGTTCAGATGCTTTTGATTTTTCAAAGTGTTAAAAACAGAAAACCCAGGCCCCAAGTGGAGTCCTTCTGCCGGGACCCCCACCCCAGCTTTCAATCCCTCCCAAAAGTACAACCCAGTGGGCACCCCTGGGGTGGGGTGGGGGGCATCCGACTGGTAAGACCCGCTTCCGTGGGGCGTGGAACGCCCTTCCTCACCACCTGTCCGTGACCCCGTGCTGCGGAGCCCTGGGCCCAGGCAGGACACTGCCCGCGGTGTGAACCTGCCATCAGGCCCACGGTACCCCAAAGCCGTGACTGATTGCGGCAGTGGGGCGCAGTCGCCCTGTGAGCCCTGTCTCGCTGCTGCCCCTCTGCCCTCGAGACAGTAACCTGAGCTGGCGGCTCCTCCTGGCTCCTTCCCGTCTCATGGTCTCTAAGGATATTTGTAGATTTACAGACGTCCGGCAACGAGTCTCGATCTGCTCTGCGAATCCACGTGTCCCTTCTTGTCCGGGCAGAGTGTTCCCCTCGGGCGAACACGGGGCGCGGGAGGGACACGCTGTGGCGTCGGCGTGTCTCTCTCCTGAGGGAAACGCCAACCTGTAGGCCGAAGCAGCTGTGCCCCGGCCAGTGCCCGTCCCCAGGGAGGGGCAGGGCCCTCGGCATTGCCCGCACCACCACTAGGCGGGGAAAGAGAGCGCTGCCCCTGCTCCGTGGGGGTGGCGGGTCCCCAGAAGCCCCAGGGCTGCCGGGTTCCCCTGGGTTCGAAGGGACTCTGTGGCCCTTGCCGGCCTGTGCGGGGCGCAGCCGGGCGGGTCTGAGCAGGCTGGCTTTCTCGGGAAGACGCCACAGCCCTGGGCTCACGGGGAGCAGGGGAAGCAGAGCTGGGAGCCTGCCCGGCGCTGCTGCGGGCAGCCTGCCGGCCCCTTTGCTCCGTGGCTTCCAGGGGACCGCGGGTGTGTGGCACAATCGGAGTGGGGCTGCTTCACCGCCACAGGAGCCGCCTTTACACATAAACGTTCACTTCCTACTGAGCAGCGGAAGGTAAGAGGGTCCTGTCAACGCCAAAGGACCACGTAAATCCAGGGAGGAAGCGGAATTCTGTGAGCTCCTTTCCGCTCGTCTCCCATTCCATTGTCCTTACGAGACGCCGCACTGCCTAGGTGAGCCACTGCTTACTCACATTTTTAGATTTCGCTGTTTTGTTGCAGCTGTATTTGAAACTACCGGTTCGCTGCTATAAATTCCTATTACAATTTCTGAGTGGAAAATGATTTGATATCTTCCAGTGAATTCTATTTTTTAAACCAATGTTTTCTGTATTTCAGCATGACTCCTGTGCTCTCTGTTCTTTCGTATTCTGATTCTCTAATCCCCTCCCTTACAGGCAGCAGTTTTAACTATTCGAACCCAGAGCTGTATAACGGATTTATCAAATATGGATTTAATGCCCTTATCAGTAAGAAGCTGGGCTATGAGAGAGACGTGCCGGATACCAGGAATAAAATGTATGTGCTGTCTAATTTTTAATATCAACTAACTAACCAGATCTTAATTTTTGGCACATCAGAAACCTTACAACATAGGTTCCTGTTTAGAGCCCAGTAATGTCTATTTCGAAATGATAGAGCGAACAGTGTAGAGAATTGACTCTCTACTGGCACAGGATGTGTTCTGGAGGTTTCTAAGAATTTAGTCATGCCCCAGATCTTGTTAAATCATTAGTAAGGACCTTTGAACAAAGGGGATTTATTTATGCTACAAAATGCTTCGGACAGCTACTTTTCCTTCGAGGTCTCCTTCCCCCCCAGTGTTCCATTAATCACTTGTGTTAATGATTAATGCCTTTTTTGAAATTGTGGTTAATATACATGGCACTGGATTTACCATTTTAGCTATTATTTAACCAATTTTCATTCAGTACATGAAGTGCCTTCACAGTTACAAAACCATCACCCCCTCCATCCATCGCCAGGACTTCTTTATCCCCCAGTGCTATACCATTAGACACCAACTCCCCAGCGCCCTCCTCCCAGCCTCCCACCCCCACCCTGGCACCTACCATTCCACTTTCGCCAAGTCCCTCACAGAAGTGGGGTCATGCAGTATGTGGTGGTTTGTGCTGGGCTCATGTCACTTATGAAGTCCAGGCTCACTCATGTTGTAAGTACATGTGGGTTAAAGTGTTTTTAGTATCTGTAGGTCCTGGTGGTGCCCAGTGAGAACAAGTCTGGGCCCCACTCCCCCTTAGCTAAATGAGGCATCTTCACATACAAAGACAAGAGGAACCGCAGAGAACAGGAGGAAGTGAGGATACATGTCTTGGTGCACCCTGCATGGGACACCAATGTGACATCACAAATACAAGAACAGTCTCAGGGGCTGACGTCACAGGATAGGACACACCTGTCTGCTCGTGAGGGGGAAGGGCTTAAATCGCTGAAACCATAGAGCAGGATGTGAACTGAGACTGGACAGCAACTTTTTATGCAGTTCAGTATTTACCCACCACAAAAGAAAGTCAGCTTGAATACCTATAAATCAGGGGTTTCTCTCCATGCCATCATTTCCCCCCTAAACCTCCCATTCTCAAATAACACATCCGGAGCAGCTAACACAGCAGTGGGCAACAAGCAGGGTGCCGCCCGGAAGGACGGAGCCACCACCCCCTGCCCGGGCTCTGAGACTAGACAGTCAAAACGCCCCAAGAGCCCCAAAGGCCAAAGTCCAAACCCAGGGCTACAGCCTAACAGGACAGTGCCCGACAAGAGGCCAGGCCACCGTCGGCAGGTCTCGGCCGCGCACACGACTGCGAGAGACCTCGGCCCCACGAACAGCGCCAGGGGACACGCAGCCACCGTGGCCACGCGTGCAGCTGCCTCGGCCAGATGGCGCCGGCGATGGCCGCACCAGTCACCAGGAGTGCTGGGCAGCGCCGGCCAGTGCGCTGGGCCCCAGCGGTCCGCAGAGCGGTCGGGACGCCCAGTGTTCGCGGCTCTCTGTGAGTTGCCGGGAGACACCGGCAACAACGCTCTCTGGACGCCGCTTGTGCGCCAGTCAGGGGTCTGGACGCTTCTTTCCGTCTTTGGAGGCCAGGAGCGGAGCCTCGGGTCTTCTTCCTGCAGATGCCAGCAGAGGCCGGCGCGACCGCCTACTGCTGCTCTGGCCGGAGTCACCTCTGACCGGCCTCAGACCCTGCCTTATATCCTTTCCCGGGGTGCTCCACCCACAAGTCTGATTGGGCCATTTTCCAGCCCTGTGGCTGATTGGGCGCGTTAGCACCAATCAGCTCATAGCTCACACCTGATTGGCCCACTCCTTTCCCAGGAAGTGCTCTGCGGCAGCAAGGGCTCTGCCGAGCCCGCGCAGCTGCTCGAGGCGCTGCGTCCACCCTCGCCCCTCGCCCCTCGCCCCACGCCCCACGCCCCACGCCCACTAGGCTTCCCTCCCCTCGCGTTCTTAGGGAAGACAGCGTTGGGAGAGGCATGCAGAGAGGAGCAGACCTGGCAGGGCGATGTGCAAGATGTCAGCTCATTCCACAGAATTCAGCTCCGCAGGAAACAGCGTCTGCCTGAGCGGATCGAGCCGCGCTCTCCCCCCCCCCCAGCACCTCCCTTTCAGCTCGGCTTTGAGGCTCATGTTTGAGGCTCCAGATGAGCGTCACTGAAGAACGGCTGACAGCGCTCTTTTATGTAGCTCTGTCTCTGATTTGACTTTATTTCTCCTCAATTTGAGATTTCTCAGACTTGCAAAATTGCTGAGGACTGTTTCAAAGAAGTCAGCTTCTCCCTGCCCCCGAGTGCCAGCCTCACCCAGCCCTCAGGGCACGCCGGGCGCTGGCGCCCCGGCCTGGAGGGGCCATGCAGGGCACCTGTCCCTGTGCCTCCCAGCAGAGGCTGCCCCGGGCACCTGCCCCTGTGCCTCCCACGGGAGCAGGTCCGAGTGTCTCTTCACAGCTGGTGACCACGTCCACCTGTCATTTGTGCCATGTTCCTCTGCGTTGGGGGTTTGGCTGGCATCACATTCTAAGGGCGCATTGTGGGGGGCAGGAACGTCGGAGTCGTGATGCCCTGACCTCCTCAGCGTTGAGCTCCGAGGCACATCGTCTGACCCTGACCTGTGAAGTTACTTTCACTACTTCATCGAAAGGGCAGCTGCCAGATTTCTAGAGTTACTGTTTGTCCTCTTGTAATCAGTAATTGCAGATCTCGTTTAAATGTTAATCGCAGAAAGCTGCGGGCACACCAGAAGGCACACGCTGCAGAGGGAAACCACTGGTGGCCATGGCTGTGGTTTCCGACTTTAGACTTTAGTGTGGCAGGCGTGGCCTCGGGCGCCGCTGGTTGTGACCCCACCTGGAGTGTGTGCACCAGCCCATACAGCCACGCCGACCGCGAGTCGGTTCATCATTTAAAAAAAAATATTTATGCACACAAGAACTGGGGTATAGGCCAGAAGTGTGGGGGTGGGAGGACTCCCCAGAGACAGTTGGGGGGCACAACAGGCAGACTCTCTGCTAAGGGGGCAGCGGGGAGACAGGAGGGGTCTGCTGTGCCCTGGGGGTCCCTCCCCGGGGATGAATTCCTGCTGTGGGGGCTGCAGACAGCTTCACAGTGCTGAGACTCAACCCCTCGGCCACCAGGGAGGCCCAGAGTCAGTTCATCTTGATTTGGGATTTATTTTAATCAGAAATCACTGCCAAGTTTTATCAACAACTTCGCGTGCCAGGCTGTGGGGAGCAGGCCACGCGTGACCGGCGCAGCTGCAAGGTTCTGCTGTGACCCTGCCACTTCAGGCCACTGGACGCACAGCCTGCGAGGTGGTGCTGTGGCGCGTCACGACTGGCGTTCCCAGGCACAGAGGAGGCAGGAGTGGAGCGTGGGCTCTCAGCCCTGGCTCTCAGCGCTCAGGGCCCCGGCTCGTGCCGACGCTGTGGGCCCCTCTCCGTGCACGTCCCTTTTGCTTAATCCAGCGCCAATGACTTTGTCATGCACAAACAAAACAGTTCAAAATACAGCCCAATAATATGGCACGACGAAAAATAATTCAGGGGTAATAAGTGCTATCACTAGACTTCGGCTTCTGGTTTTCTCTCGTGCACAAAAATAAAAATAAAAACATTTTATATGAAGGAAACATGAAACTTGCATTGTGTTCAACCGCTGAGATTTTAGAAATTGTTACCACAGCTACCACTACACGTGTTACACTGATTATAAGTACAAGGAAGTAAATGTTTAAAATTTAGATGTACTTAATTGGGGGTGTAGTTATAACATGCTTGAATAATTATGCATTTCAAATTTAATAACATTTTAAAGGGAAAAATCAACAAAGTACTTTTATTGTGGCCTCCCTGGTGGTGCAAAGCATTAAGCACAGCACTGTGAAGCTACCGCAGTCCCCGCAGCACAAGTTCAATCCCCGGCCAGGGAGTGACTCACATGGCGCGGCAGACCTCTCCTGTCTCCCCGCTGCTCCCCTCAGCAGTGTCTCAGTCGATCCACCTGTCCTGCTCCCCACTCTGCCTCTGGTGAGTCCTCTCACCCCTGCATCTCAGGCCTGCACCCCAGCTCTTGTGTGCATACATAAAACTTTACTTTTTTAAAGATTTGTTTATTTCTGCATACAGAACTGGGGTACAGGCCAGAGTGGCGGGGGTGTGTGTGTGTGTGTGTGACAGTATTCACCAGAGACAGAGTGGGGAGCAGAACAGGCAGATCGACAAGGTACACTGCTGAGGGGAGCAGCGGGCGGTCAGGAGAGGTCTGCCGCGCCCTGTGGGTCACTCCGGGGAGGGCGGGGATCGGACTCACACTGAGGCGGCCGTGGCAGCCTGCAGCGCTGAGTCCTAGCCCGCTGCGCCACCAGGAAGGGCCTGCATAAAGAAATCTGGAACTTTCAATGTGAGTTTATTAAATCTCTCGTAGAGAGGCCGAAATAATTTGTTTATAGGATGCTCAAAATGAACTTGGATTGTGAAACTTGTGTCAGGAAGGAGCAATGGTTACTGGCGTCGAGGGGGAAATGACTGCGAAAATATTAGAAGAAGTGAAAGCAGAAGTGAAAGAACGGCTTGTGCCTCCTTCACTGTACTGGCGCCCGATGGTCACGCCCATCCACGAGCGGAGCTGCCGTGGCAGGGGCTTGGGGCGCGGCCTGGGCGCCGCAGCGGTGTGCAGGGGGCACTGCTCGGGGGGGGCTGGCTGCCAGCTCGGGCGCTGAAAGCGGGTCACGCGGAGGCCGCGCGGTGGGAGGGCCGGAGAAGGGACCCGACCGGCGTCCAGAGACATCAGCGTCCACCTTCAGAGCGGGTGAGTGACCCCGGCAGGGCCACCCGAGCCCACGGACGCGCTCCAGGGTGCGCCGGGGTCCCCACCGGCCGGGGCGCGGCTGTTCTCGAGTCAAGGACAGGCCCCCCGCTGCCGTGAGCACTCAGCTCACGGGACCCACAAGAACCGGAACGGGGAAACGCAAGCTCGGGAGAAGCTGAGGAGCGCACCCCTGCGCCCCTCAGGTGAGTCACCGGCCGCCCCGCTCTGCGCGCCCGCCCGCAGGTGTCGCTACAAGCGCTACCCCAGGAAGCTGCCCACCGCCAGCGTGGTCATCTGCTTCCACAACGAAGAGTTTAACGCCTTGCTGAGGACAGTGTCCAGTGTCATGTCACACACCCCACAGCACCTCCTGGAGGAAGTCATTCTGATAGACGACAGGAGCGAATTTGGTGAGACAGACCCACAGAGCTGCCGGCTCTCTCTCGGGGTGCTGAGTCGGGTGGCCTGGTTGGGGGGAGGAGCTGTCCCTCTGGGGCGCCGGGGAGGTGAGAGTGCCGCTGACGCCCCGATGGCGGCAGGAAGGCCACGTCCCCGGGGTCTGAAGTGTGCTGTGTCATCTTGCTCGGAGGGAGGGAAGTGTGTGTTTCAGAGGAGGGTCCAGCACCCGGAGGCCCCGGGGACCCCGAAGGCCCAGGGAGAGAAAGCCTGGCAAGTCTGGGGCCCGCCGAGCGCCTTCCAGGTAGCTTATGTCGAAGCTGGGCAGGGCTGGAGAGAAGACAGGAACCCAAGTAGGAAAAGACCCTGTGAAGGGCAAGGCTTGAGCCTCACCTGGAGGTCATGGGGCGCCGTCACAAGCTGAAGGCAGGGCCCTGCGCCCCCTACCCGGACCGCCCGGAGCTCTGGGCCTGCCCCCGCCCCAGCCTGTGCTTCCAGAACATGTCACGCTGGGGCACAATCTAATGAGCAGCTCTTAGCATTTGGAATAAATCACCTGTTTTCCAACTTCATTGCAAACCTGGGCAAACCGAGAGAACCACGTTGGTGTGAGGTCTTTACCGCCAGGGAAAGAAAAGACCCCAGGTGGGGGCTGCAGGGGTGTCACCGGGGGCAGCTTGGCCTCCTGCCAGCCACATCTGGGCGCTCAGAGCGTGTCCAGGCACCACGCCTTGCTCCCTGGGAGCCCCCGCGGGGGGTGGGGCGGCCCCTCAGCCCTGCACTCGGGGAGAGATGGGCCTGTCCTTGACCTGGGGAGCAGCCCGGGCAGGGTCCCCGCGACCCTGAGCACACTTGCTTGTAACGGGCGTCGGAACCAGGTGTCGGCGTTCTCACGGCGTCCTGGGCGGCCCCTTCTCCGCCTCCAGTTTCCAGCTGCCCCGCTCTCAGGTCAAGGCCACTGCCATCAGGTCTGAAAACAGCCTCAGACAGGAGGCCACACGAGCCTGGGCTTCTCTTGTGCTCTCTGAAGTCTGAGGGCGGCAGCCGTTCAGCCGGTCCGTACTCGGGGCTGCGGGTCAGCACGCTGCGGGGCACCAGGGCTTCCCCGCGAGGGGGGGCCACCCGCCTGGCCACGGGGCGCAGCAGAGCAGCGTCTCGATGTCGGTATGTCTCTGTACGCAGGACACCGCTGTCCCTGTGGTCAGAGCGTCCGCGGAGGCGCGATCGGGAGTCGGGCGACGGCCGCGGTTTCCACTCGCGTAGTCACCACGTGCCCACGGTCAAGCGCTGGTGTCTTTGCAGATGACTTGAAAGACAAGCTCGACTTCCACTTGGAGATTTTCCGGGGAAAGATAAAGCTGATAAGAAACAAGAAGAGGGAAGGGCTGGTCCGCTGCCGGCTCATCGGCGCGTCTTTCGCTCTGGGTAAGGGCCGCCCCGACTCCGTCGGCCTCCACCGGCCCGGGCCGCGTGCGGGACCTTCCTGCCCACGCGGAAACGCCCCAGGCGCCCTCTGGGCTCCGCGGGCTGAGACAGTGTCGTGATTCGGCGCTGAGTCTCCCTGTGCTGGCCAGAGTGGACGGGACCAGCTCCTGCTTCCCGCGCGGCTGAAGGTGTCCATGTCGGGAACACCACAAACCACGGCCCGCTGGGCGTGGCCTTCCCAGACCCTCGCACTTGGCCTGCCGCCTGTAGGTGGGCTCAAAGCGCCTGGCGCCCACCTGTGCTGCCCAGCGAGGCCACTCCCCATCAACGCCTCGCCCTTTCCCCCGCGTGCCAGCGGCTGGCGAGGACGGGGTCCCCTGGGTCGCCGTGGAGGCCCTGTCTGGTCACTTCTCCGGCAATTTTCACTTTTCACTATTACTCAGAAACCACACTGGCGTTTGCCAAAGACCCGCCCTGCCTGGCCTCTGGCTCCCGGCCCGGCCGGCACCCTGTCCTGCTGTGTCCACCCTTCAGGAGGGCCCGCGCGGCCGCCTCCGCTCGGCTCAGTCGTCCGCTCCAACGTCACTGCGAATGTCCTTCAGCAGAGAAGCCCCTTGGCGCCACCGTCATGGGGAGCGTGCCTCGTTCTCCGCGACGCCACCGCCACCTGCCCTGGCCTGCGTGGCTGACAGAGGCCTGGCGGCGTGGTCCCCGGGCAGGCGTGTTTGTGCGGGTGCACAGCTACACTTGGGGTGCAGAACTGAGTGTGGCTTCTTGTCTCCCGCCGCCCCCCAGCGCGGCCGAAAGCCCCGTAAGAAGCAAACACTGGCTGGGGGTTGCCGAGGGCTCGTCGCACACTCTTGGGTCTGGCCTGGCCGGCAGGCGCTGTCCACACACTCACGCCGGCCCGCCCTTGCCCCCAGGGGACGTCCTGGTGTTCCTGGACAGCCACTGCGAGGTGAACAGTGTCTGGCTGCCGCCCCTGCTGAGTGCCATCGCCAAGGACCCCAAGACCGTGGTGTGCCCGATCATCGATGTCATTGACTTCAGCACCCTGGAGTACAAGCCCTCTCCTGTCGTCAGGGGCGCCTTCAGCTGGCACCTCCGCTTCCAGTGGGACACTGTTTTCTCTTACGAGCTGGAGGGACCAGAAGGAGCGACCGCTCCCATCCGGTGAGCGTCGTCCAGCGGGCAGGGCGCCAGTGGGTGGGACCTGGCAGAACTTAGGGAGACACTCTGAGTGTTCCTGCGATTGCTAGGGCTGAACGAAATGGGGTGTTCTACGTGGGTCTTCTTGCCAAGTGTCTATTATAATAGAATCGGGGGGCTTGGGGCTTGTCACTTGAAAATGAGCCTGTCACCCCAGGGGCGAGCACGGCTGTGACAGCGGCCCTCGGACTCCAGGCGGGCACCGTCAGCGTGTGGGCGAGTCTCAAGGTGGCCTGCGGACCAGGGGTGCAGCACGCAGCGGCCCAGGGAGGGCCTGGCCGTGGCCCGTCCGTGGCTAAAACATCTCTGCAAGTGCTTCCACCCGTCACTGTATAGGTTGAGATAAAAGAGATTTTCCAAGATTACTAGTCCCGGCAACTGCACCTCTACGTGTGAGAATGGCTCGAACGCTGGGACTTTCAGGACCTGTCTCGGGAGAGACTTCCCAGGCCCCCCACGCCCACTGTTGGCTGGGACCCCGGGCTCAGGTCTTTTCTCTCACTGGTGACCTGTTTCACGACCACACACGTGCGCGCCAGGATGTCAGCCAAGCAGCCTTTGGTCTTTGCCTCAATCCGAATTTAGCCAGGGCTGTGTGACCCTGCTACACTTGCTTAGCCTCTCTGGGCTTATTTCCTTATCTGTGAAGTCTGGAGAATAATGGTTCTTCACAGGGCTGTCATGACCATTAAACGGCTTAGTGCGTTTCAGAGATCACCACTGTCTGAGCACTCCACTTTTGTATCTTCATAATTATTTAATAGTTGCCGTTATGATTCCTACAGTCGTATCTTGGGCCTTTCATTGTCTAAATTACTGCACCTCCTGCTCTCGGCCTCAACCGGGCTCTCTGTGGCTCCACACCACGCACCTAGCCATGGGAGAAGCCCGAGTGCGGCCGAGGCCCCGTCTCAGACGGGGCAGGTGTGGGGAACCAGAGCTCGGCTCTGGGCTCTGAGTTAAACAACTGCACACACGGGTGAATGTGGGGGCTGCGTCATGACGTGCTGCCCGCCCAGACCTGGGGAGCAAGTCCGCTCAGCCGAGGCGCCTGTCTGTCCCCCTTCCCAGCGAAGCTCACCCCTCCTCACCTGTCCCGCGAGCCTGCTGCCCGCGGGCGAGTCAGTGCTCCGCGCTGCGGGGTCACAGGCTGCCCGAGCCGACGCGCCCACAGGGCCACGGCACTTTCTCCTGGAGTCGTACATGGCGGGAGGGGAGACTGCGAGGCGTGGAGGGCACCGAGGGTGTGGCCTCCCCCCTGCGTCGGCCATCTTGATGGCCGACAAAGAGGGCGACCACTTCTCGTGAACCCCCGACTCTCGGCTCTGAGGCTCACTGGAATGCGGTTTTGCCTCGACCCCCACAAAATGTCAATGGCCTATCAAACCCAAAGTCCAGTCTGGGTGCCTGTCCGACCTGGCCTGTGGGCAGTGGCCAGGCTGCGGCCACTCCCTGCTCCTTGATGTCAACTCTCCTCCCCGTCCCTCTGGTGGGGCCAAGAAGGTGCTTCCTGACCTGTGATTCCCCAGAATTAACATGACATCACTCAGCGCCCCAAAGGGCCGCTCCAGCTCCACCACCCAAGGCGACCGCGCCCCCCCCCCCCGGGACGAGCACGGTCTCCCTCCCGGTCTCCCTCCCGCCCAGACGCCGCAGGGCCTGTGCGGCAGGAGAGGCACGATGGTCACCTTGGGAATTTCACCCACCCGGAAGCTGCTGACGTGGTAATTTGGGCGTGAACGAGCTTCTCAGTTTGAGCATGAGCATCACCGACGTTCAGCAGGACTCTGGCAAGCCTGTCGCGCCGCCCTGTCCTCCAGGTCGCCCGCGATGGCCGGCGGCATCTTCGCAGTGTCCAGGCCCTACTTCAAGGAGCTCGGGCAATACGACGAGGACATGGCTCTCTGGGGCGGGGAGAATGTGGAGCTCTCGCTGCGGGTGAGTCACCCCGGTCGCCCCCGGGGGGGGTCTGCGGGAGCAGCAGTTCGCGGCGGGCCGCGGGTCTCCGGCGTGGGCATCGCGAGGCGCCTGGTGTTACACGCACCCCCCAGTTCCCGAGGCCCCCTGCAACACTTGAAATGCCCGATAAAACGCCGGCTCTGGGCACCCCACGTCTTCCTTTCGAGCGTGTGAGGCTCAGCCTGGCTCCCTCGCTGGGCCTGTCTGCCGGAATCTGCTCTCCAAGGGGCTTCCCGAAGCCCCAGCTCTGCTCCCCTCTCCTCCCAGGCGACATCTCCCTCCGTGCGCCCTCGCGGGCTCTTGCTCGGCTCCTCCCATTCCTTCTCCTGCGTCCCACGCTGCGTCCCACCCCCACCCCTGTCGCCCCATCTGACTGCACCCTGGGCCCGCGAGCCGCCTGCTTCCCCAGCCCTTCCTGACCCTGGGCGCCCCCCTCGGCCGCCCTCCTCCCGCTCTCCTCTCGGGGGTGCTGCCAGCAGGGCCCTCTCCCTGAGGGTCCCTCACCCTTCCTGCTCCAGCCTTCCCTGCGCGCCCGCGGCCTGCCCGCCCCTCCTGGGCTGGCGCTCAGCCCCGCTTCAGTGCCCGCCGTGCGCACCCGCGCCCCAGGGCTCACGTGGGACCCCGTCGCGAATCTTTGCGGGGGGTGCGGCCGGGGGCGGGTTCCCGGAGCGGGAGGCGGCACACAGCTGTGCCAGCGCGTCCGGCAGGCGCCCGGCGGGAGCGCAGGCCCTGGCAGCTGAGCCCCCGGCCGCTGCTGCCCGCTCCACGACGGGGCGCTTCTCTCCGAGCGCGGGTGGAGGATGGCGCCTGGCGAGCAGCGCCCCAGCTTTCCGCTAAGGTGTTTGCCGGGACTGGGAAGATGTGGCCGCTCGCCTCGCACTGACAGACAGCCTGGGCCTGGAGACACCGCCTCAGCCCCCTGGCCTGACCCGCCGCACCCTCTGCCCCTCCACCTCTGCTGGAGGCCTGGGCCCTAGGGCCCCTGCCACCCCTGCGCCAGAGCGGAGGCGGCCGCCAGACTTGGTGCTTCGGCGTGACCTCCCTTCCTCCTCCTCTGGTCCACCCCCTGGAGCAAGGCCAGCGCGGACCTTGCCTGCTCTCCGAGGCCCCGGGCTGGGAGGCCTGGTTTCATGGGGGCTTCCTGAGCCCGAAGCTCGGCTTGCTTCCCCGAGGGCAGACCTCCAGAGCATCGCACCGGCCGCCCGCGGGACCAGGTGATGCTGTAGCCAGAGAGGCAGGTGTTGAGGCCCGGCTGGCTCAGCACCCCGCTCCCCCTCCACGCCCAGCCCCATGCAGGTCCTGCATTGGACCTACAACCAGCAAAGGGTTGTCTCCCCGGTGACCCCCAGACTTCCTCAGACCTGTGTCTGACAGTGAATGGAGGGCCTGGGACCCCTCTCTGGTCTCCAGCTATCTCTGCAGCAAAGAGTGGGCTGCTACCTGGGAGTGGGAGGAGTGGGGAGGGCCGGGGTGCGCTGAGGCTGAAATCTGGTCTCCGGTGCTGCAGACGCTGCCTGGTGCTGGGTCCAACCCTGCTGAGGCCTCGGCCAGCCCGTCTGTCCAGGGCTCGTGGCTTCCCGTGCCCAGCTCAGCAGCCAGAGCTGCCCATGGCGGCAGTGCGCCCGGCCCGCCCCGCGGAAGCTCGGCCAGGGGAGGCCTCGTCCTCGTAAGGGCCTGTCGTGGTGGGGACCCCGCCCCCCCAGTCGGGGAGGAGGACCACAGACTGAACATTTCCAGGGGGTTTTATATTTCTATTTTAAGTAATTGTCCGGTAGAAGGAAGAACGCACGATGAAATGATCGGTTTGGTTTTGGAAAAGAAACAGTTAGATCAGTAGTGCAGACTGAGAAAGTCCTGCCCTGGATGGCCACGTGACGTGTCCCCCTTCACCTGGTAAACAGACTGCAGAGAAAGAGGGGAGAGGCCCGCCTCCGTGCCTGAGCCCGGGGGGGGGCGCGGGCCTGCCACGTGGCGAGGAGAGGGTGCAACGGTGGCGCGTCGGGGCCAGGCGACGCCAGATGCGCTGTGAGCGGGCCGAGACGGGCTGCAGGAATTAACCGTGGAGGAGAAGCGGGCGACTGGGGTCTCTGGCAGCCACCTGGACTACGGAGACAGCAGATGCAGCCGCAGAGGTGCAGGGCAGACGGGAAGAGCTGGACAGACCGGCGTGGTTTACGGAGAACGCAGGCCCGTCAGCGTGGTGGACGCTGGCCTGGGGGCGTCCGGACCGCGGCGTGGGCAGTGCACGCCACGCGGGTGTGGTCTGCAGCTGGGCAGCAGGCTGGGCCTGGAGGGGCAGGGCTGAGCCCTGCTGGCCACCCTAGGGGTAGCCGCAACTCAGCGGCGTGGCTGCAAGAGCGCGGGGTCGGGCCGGGCCATGGCCGGGGAGTCCTGTCTCGCTCGCCTGCCCCGTCTGTCACCCACTGCGCTGAATGCACGATCCCAAGCCGCGTGTCTCGGGCGGACTCTGCCCGAGGCCAGGGATGGGCGAGCTAATATTTGACGGTCGGCATCTCCACCCCTCACAGCGAGTGTCTGGACCGGGCCGCTGGGAGGACAGAGGTCTTGCTTACGTGAGCGCCGCGGCCCCTCGCCTGCAGGGAGGCTGGGAACCACCTGCCAGGGCGCGGCCGCTCTTGCCCACGTGGCCTCGTAGCTTGCTGTGTGGCTGCCGCGGGCCTCTGCACTGCTCACCGTGCTGCTTTCAGATGTGCAGATTCGGCTCGCGCTGGTCTGGCTGGACAGATCTCCACGCCTGACACCGGCCCATGGCAGAGGGGGCGCGTGGCCACCCGTCTCCTGCCATCAGCCGGCCGGCCCCGGCTCGCTCCCCTTGTGAATGGGCAGGAACCCTCAAGGCCGGCTGTTCCGGTCAAAAGCAGTGTCCCAGTGGCCCCTGACTTCCGAGGCCACTGACGCTCTGTCCGCAGGTCTGGCTGTGCGGTGGCCAGCTTTACATACTGCCCTGTTCTCGCGTGGGCCACATCAACAAGCACGTGCAGCCGCACCCCGACGTCATGAAGGCCCTGGACCGCAACAACCTCAGGCTGGTGCACGTGTGGTTGGACGAATACAAGGTGAGGGCGCGCCTGCTTTGAGGCGTGGACGTGGCTCGTGCTCCGGGAGCCCCACTGCCTTCCAGACACCGCTGCGGTCCCCCCGTTTCCCTGAATGAGCGGGTTCGCCCCAGCCACCCACACACCTCCCCAGCGCCTGCCTACGGCTCGCTACATGTGCACCTACTTTAGTTTCTGGGGCCAGCCAAGCTGGCAGCGTCTCACCCAACAAGCAGTTCCCCCGCCCCATCCGCTTTTCCGGTGGAAGGCGGCAGATGCCCCCGCCCCCACCCAACTGGCAGGAGTCTCCTCCTCTACCACCCAAGTGACGTGGCTGCTGCTGTGGCCACGCAAGCCTCGGCCGCTTGTTTTCTGCCCATGACCGGCCGCTTCTCCGCCAAAGCCGCGCTCCTTCTTGGCGCCTCTCCCCATGGTGAGAGCACCTGGCGGTCTTAAATAGGTCTAGACACCCAGAGAGCAGGTCGTTTACTCGAAAGCAGCTCATCCAGAGTCCACGCACAAGCTGTGCACGTGGACAGTAACTCAGTCAGACCTCATTTCAGCAGCATGAATATGTAAGGCGAAATAGAGGACACAAAGACTCTCTGCGATGCTGGGTGAGATCTAGTGCTTATTATTTTTAAATCACAAGATACCGACACTCAAGTTCCCTCGTGATCAGGTCAATGTGAGTAAAACCTCAGTGAGATTCCTACCTGGCCACGAGACGGGCGAGCATGTCCCGTGTCTGAGAGGGCCGTGCACTGCCAAGCCACAGCAATGCCCTGGCCTCACTGGGAGCGGCGTCCGGTGCACAAACGTCACGGCAGAACGGCCTGGCAGCGCGGGCAAAGGGGAGGCTGTGGCGCCTCGAGCCCGGCCACTCCGGGGGTGCAGGTGCCCGTGGCCGCCGCGTGCTGCGCTGAGGCCCCAGCGCTGCAGCGCAACGAAAGCCACCTGCCACAGACACACCCAGACAGTGCGGGCGGGTCTGAGCGTGCGATGGAGCAAAAGCCACGCAACCGCGGCGTGGGCTCCAGCGCCCCATTCGAGTCAACCACGGCAACGAGCCCACGCAGTCCAGGCGTGCACAATCAGCTAAGCTCGGAGATGCCACAAACACGCGCAGAATAGCGCTTAAAACCGCAGGAGAGGGCTCTCCCTGGTGGGGCGACGGGTCACAGCACCGCGTTAAAGAGCTCTCAGCAGCCGCTGCGGCACGAGTTCGACCCCCGGCCAGGGAGGGACCCCCAGGGCGCCTCAGACCCCTCCTGACCCGCCCGCTGCTCCCCTCAGCAGTGTGTTTCGGTCCATCCACCTGCTCTGCTCCCCGCTCTGGCTCTGGTGAATCCTCTCACCGCCCCTGCACCTCTGGCCTGTACCCCAGTTCTGTAAGCATGAATAAGTGAATCTTTTAAAAACACACACACACACACAGTGGAGCCTCACCAGTGGAGACGGGGCTGCAGCTGGTGAGCAGGCGCTTCCTGACCCTGGGTGGGTTTTCTGTAATCCATGAAGCTGCCACTGACATGCACTTTTTGCATGTTTATTATATTTCCTGATCTAAATATTTTTTTAACAGGTAAAATACGTTGATTTTAAAAAGTCACATAGTAGTCAGATACTCCTGAAGTGAGAAGCAGCTTCTAAGCCTCTACTTCCACATCTCAGAAGAAACTGACAATTTAGTTTCTTATTAACACGCAGACATGCGAATTCATGTCTTTTCTTTTGGGTAACTAGATTAGTTTAACATTTTGTTCTAAAATTCTTTCCCATTGGTTAATATATTTTAAGACAGTTCCCGGGGCCTGTCTCCCTGTGGCGCAGGGGTTAGAGCCCAGCGCTGCGTTGGCTCCGTGGCCAGGGGGCCCCCAGGGCGCGGCAGACCTCTGCCGCCTCCCTGCTGCTCCCTCCCTCAGCAGTGGGTTTCAGTCTCTCTGCTTGGTCTGCTCCCCACTCTGTCTCTGGGGAGTCCTCTCACCCCCGCTCCCCAGATCTTGTATGCATAAATCAATAAATCTTAGCAAAACAAGAGTACTTTCAAATCAGAAGACAAAGCATAACGTTTTTAAGTATTCGCTTTGGTGGTATCTACTGAAATCGACCCCATAGTTAAGTATCTCCCGCTGACGGACACTGGGACTCGCTGACAGTTCTGACAGGAACATCCTTTGCGTACGGCTCGCTGTGCCGAAACCCCTCGGCTCCTGCTGCGCGGCCCGGCTGACTCACCCAGGCCGTATGGGCGTGTGCATCTGGTGGCCTCTGCGGATGAGCTGGACGGGGGCTTAGCTGAGGGGTGAAAGGCGCACGGCGGGGTTCAACAGGGTTTGCTCACCAAAGACTTGCTCATTCAGTGGCCTGGCTCTTGATGTCCACGCAGGAGCAGTTTTTCAAACGGAGACCCCACCTGAAGTCTGCTGACTACGGAAACATCAGCGAGCGAGTCCGCCTGAGGAAACGCCTGGGCTGCAAGCCATTTCAGTGGTACTTGGATACTGTCTACCCAGAGCTGGAGGCGTCTGTCATCAGCTGATGAAAGAAACACTTTTCAGTAAAGGAGGGCTAAAAAGTCCTCTATTCCCTCTCAGAGAGAGCACAGGTTTGGAACATCATGAGATGCAATAAAGAAGAAAACGGCGGCCACGGAGGTCCACAGGAAGGCCGCCTTTCGTTCCTCCTTCAGTGGTGGCTCTCAGTGCCCCTGGGTCACTGCCACAGGCGAGGTGCGGTCAGATGACTGAGGTGAAGTATCACGCCCAGTTATTTGCCAAACGCAGTCTTGGGGGACTGGAGACTTGGGTCCACTCGTGGGTGTCTGTCCCCCATCTGTCCCCCACCCTTCCAGTAGCCTCAGAACTGGAAAGCTACAAGCCTTGATTACTGGGGCTCTTCAGACCAAGGTTTAGCTCGGTCTGTTTGCTGATATTCCCCGCGCGAGCTCGTGTTTTCTGCCTCCTCTTCGCTTATGTCGCTCAGCCTCCGCCCTCCACTTATATTCACATCACCCATGGCGAGATTCCCTTTAGTACAGGATGGGGTATTCCCCTGTATATGTGCTCCCCGTCAGCTTAATCCCCCCATCTGCCATCGGGCACTCAGGTCGTTTGCCAGCGTTACCGAGATCAGGGGCCTCAGCACTGCTTTTGTACTTCCAGTAGATAGCTGGGAGTGGAGTTGCTGGATCTTATGAACCATTTTTTAATTCTGAGAAACCACCCTACTGTTTTCCAAACTGTCTAGGGTTAGATCAATTTGTGTCCCATCAGGAGTGTAGAAGGTTCGCTCTTCTGCACACCCTCACCGGCACGAGCTTCTGGTCTTCCGGATCTGGGCCGTTCTCATGGGCTAGCTCACGGTGGCAGGACTTGCATTTCCCTGTCTCCCGGGCAGCTGTAAGTCTTCCTTGGAGGCGTGTCAGCTCTTCTGCCCATTTTTATGTTGTTTTCTTTCGGTTGAGTTGTATGAGTGTTTTGTAGATCTTGACTATTAGACCTGCGATGTGCAGATATCTTCTCCTATCTTGCAGGTGTCTTCATTTTACTGATAGTTTCTCTCACTGAGCAATCCTTTCAGCTTGATGTCCCGCTGATGTTTGCTTTTGTGCCCCTTGTTGGAGTCTCCAAAGACATATCTGAAATCAATGTTGCAGTGTTTTGCCTAGGTTTTCTATGTGTTTTGTGGCTTCAGGTCCTACATCCAAGCCTTTAATCCATTTTGAGTCCATTTTTGGGTACGGTGTGGGAGTGGTTTAGTTTTCCCAAAATCAAAGACTTTGTTGATTATACACTCTTAGCTCTTTTGTTATAAATTAACTGTCCATTCTAGTCTGGGTTTATTTCTGGGATCGCAATTCTATTTTGTTGGTTGGTGTTTCTGTTTTCATGACTTTTTTGATTACAATAGCTTTGTAGTATGGCATTAAGTTTGAGAGTGTGGTACCTCTGTTCTTTTTTGTCAGGATTGCTTTGGCTATTCGAGGTCTATTGTGGTTCCATTTAAATTTCAGCATTTTGTGCTTGTGAACCTTTGAAAGGTTCTGTTGCTTCGGGGAAGTGGTCATTTTCAGTGTTCATTCTTTCAATACATGGGCAAGAAATATCTTTCCATTTCTTTATATCTTTTTCTTTCAACAATGTCTTGTAACTTTCATTGTATAGGTCTTTCCCCTTCCTTTGTAAGTTTATTCCTACATGTTTCTTCCTGATGTGATTGTAAGTGGACATTTTTCTCTTAGTTTGCTGTTTATAGGAACACACGATTTTTGTGCATTGGTTTGGCAGCCTGCCCCTTCACTTGCTGTTTTAGATTTTTAATGGCATCTTCAGGCTCTTCTGTGCATACACCCTGTTATCTGCAAATTGTTCCCTTCTAGATTCTTCCCCGTTTGGGTACCTTATATCTTTCCCTTGCCTGACTGCTTTAATTAGGACACCTAACACTAAATAGAATAGCAGTAATGAAAGTGAACTTCCTCTCTTCTGATTTTGGAGAAAAAGCTTTCAGATTTTTTGCCACTTAGTATGATGTTAATTAGAGATTGTTATATATGGTCTTTATTGTACTTAGGTATGTTCCTTTTATCCCACCCTTTTTTTTCCATAGGTGGATAGGTTGAGCCTTTCATCTGTTAAATGCTTTCTCTACAGCTATTGATACAATCGTACTTTCTTTCCTTTTGTTGATATGATGAATTACACTGATTTCTCGATGTTGAACTATCTTTGTATTCCTGGAAAAAAATCCACTTGGTCATGATGTATAATCCTTTCAGTATATTATTGCTTTCAGTTTGTTAACATATATAAAGGTAGTCATGGGCTAAATTAAATTTGTCATGTAATTTAGTAGTTCAGGTACTGGATAACATGGGTATACCTTAGAAATGATGTAGCATGTTGCTTAGACAATCTCATCTTGAATATTGTTACAGCTGACTCTGGATAGAATAGAAATTAGAATCAACATCCAAGTATTTGATATGACTGAAAAGAAAAGCAACACCTGTCCACAGA